GATTGTGATTCAGATTGCTGGCGGTGCATGTAAGGCGATGGAGGTTGGTGACGTCACGCTCAAACGGCGCTGCAGCAATAATTGAGAAGCATGCAGGCGAAGGAAAGGTCACAAGTCAGATCATCGTGCTTGAATCGACGGCCCAGCTCTAATGTCCGCAGGTGGTCACTCACGCACTGGCGCTGACCGAACCGAGGTCTTGAAGTTGTGACAATCTGAATCAAGTCTGCCCGAGCATCCACGTGTACACCATCCTCAGCTCGCAGACAACCACTCATGCGATGCTATAACGTTCACCAAGCCAGCGGAGTCTACAGTACGTATACAAAGGCAGAACTCGAAGGGCGTATCTTCTTTCCATGGGAAATCGCACATCTAGAGCCATGGGTGCCAAGTCGGCTCTTGCAAAGCGAGCTTGCCACTGTTGGTGGCAGAATTGATGAGGTCCAGAACGGTCTGAGAGACTGGCACGGTCGAGGGATGGGGCTGTGACAAGACGAACAGAGCGCGATGTGGGGCCATGAAACAGTCAGCTCTTGGAGGATCGCGAAAGCTCCTTTGCTGATCAATGCTCACCTTGCTCGCTTCGTAATCACAAGACATTAGTCGTGCCCGCTTCACCATGTCCAGGATGTTGGGGTAGATGATGTCTCGAGGCGCTTCAACAAAGACTCCAGGAGGGTTGCGCTGCGAGGTTTGCAACCAGAAAGTGATCTCGTCACGAACAAAGATGCTGAGATATTCCTCGAGGTCGCGTTCCGGCTCCGACAAGCACCTGCCAATGGCGGTCAGGGACGACGCCAGAATTCCCTCAACTCCAGTTGGCGTGATGAAATTTTGTAAATTTGGCGTCAACCGGAAGGGCGTAGGGTCGTTGGACTTGAATTGCGGCTGCGTTGGGCTGAAAGTCGGAACCACATCGGACATGGACACAACGCCGGAATTTCGAGAGAAGGAAATTCGCGGTGGTCCGCGCGCCGAGATAAAAAGTGCATACGTCAAAAACATTGTCGAAGCCATTTGAAGGGTGAATTGCTTGCGCAATAGCCACAAATCCGAGGGCGACGACATTGACCGCGTAATGAAGCGGGTTAAGACCGTGTCGGGCACCATTTTGGTACTAATCTCGTCCAGTAAGTCCATGCGAAGGTTGGAGAGATGGACCAGATGTCTGTTGGCATCGGACACACTTCGCATCTTCTCCACCCACATGGTGATCGGGTCTTCCTTGCTGATTCCTATCTCTTCGCAGTGCCTCTCGAACACATCTTGCAAGCTGACGAAGCTGGCGTCGCTCTCGACCAACCGCAATTGTGGCGAAAGCGGGATCGCGACTGGGGTCGTGAAGGTCAAGCCGCGTTTGCGGCTCTCGATGCGGCGTTCTAGCACACGGTTGAGCAATCGAAGGAGCTGCAGTATTCGCTCTTCACGTCTGCAGTACCGGGCCGATGGCAATTGTACGGCAAAGGAATGCGTGTTGCCTTTGTTGCTGAAGATGGAAATGCGCCTTGTGCAGATACCCGACGACCTGGTGAGCTCGAAGGTGGGTACGAAGCGGGTGATCTTCGCAAAGTCGGAGTTATTGTCTTCCAAACGCAAGTATTGCCCAGGCATCTCAACTTCATCAAATCGCTGATGTTGGAACTCGACGAGATAATGTGAGCAATGCTCGAGATGCTGAAGCGAAGTGCGACGATCCAAGCGCACTTCGTAATTGTCACGCCAGCGCTGGAGACGCTGGACGTATTGACGCAAACTTGGCTTGCTTCGCACGAAGTCTTCCTCAAACTCATTCTTCAGAGGACCTTGAGGTAGGCTGTCGGCAAAGCGCATGACGTTTGCCATGGAAGCCTGCGGTAGCAGACCTGGATCGCTAGGAATGCTTGCCCGACCAACGTATTGTTGCAATGCATCGTTCAACAGGGCGTTGATGAGCCGGTAAATGTCCTCTTCAGTGCCTGGCTTGAAGCGTTGACCAATTTGCTCTGCGGTATTTTCCAACGTCAGCGCGAGGAGTGGGAAACCGGTCTTGAGAATCTGCAGAATCTCATCAATGTAGTCCCAAGGCTGACGAGCGGCCGCGCCGGCGCCCGGCGTGCCTGAAGATGCCAACCCATTTTGAGGTCCCGGAGGCGAGCCGTGGCCGTTAGGGCTCTGAGCCGATGACGACGAAGGACCATCATTTGCAGATGGTTGTTTTGAAGTCGTGCTGGCATCGCTGCCACCGACTGGATGGGAGGGCGCGGAATTGTCATCGCCCTCGGCACCGGAATGAGATTTGTTTGGCGCATCTGCGCCCGTGGTGGCTACTTTGACTGCTTGATCGCGCGCGCCGTCCGTGTCGGATGTGTGTCCTGGGGCGCTGGGAGCGGCTGATGCCGAAGGTCTAGCTCCGTCTGCGGCTGACTGTCCTTCTGGCTTCGCTGCCGTGATCTTGCCGGAATCATCGCCTGAGGAAGTCGCCGTTGGCGCTGATGGTGTAGGACTTCCTGTCTTTGGATCGACCCTGCCTTGTGCGACGCCATCGTTGGTACCAGCGTCGACATTTTCGGGCTTCTCGCCATCCTTAGTTTCAGCCTGAGAACTCGACCCACCGTCGGCGAGGGGTGCGTTTGCTGACTCAGCAGAGCCAGAAGCGGTTTCAGGACCCTTTGCACTCTGCTGCTGCTGTTGGGACACGCGGAGTTGCTGTGCTTGAGCGGCGCGTTGGGCAGCCACTAGCACCTGCCGCTTCACCGGCGCATAGTCTTCACGCGCAGTCCTCAGGAAAAAGTAAAGCGACTGTCGTGGGAAGAGACGTTAGACAGAGTCAGCAAGGTGCGATTTCGAGCCAGGTTTTATGACCACCAAACGTCTCACCTGTGGGAAGGTCTTGGCGATCTGCATTAGAAGGCGTCTTGCGTACTTGGCCTCGCGGTGTTGCAACCCTTGCAGCAGCTGCGGAATGAACGTGATCCAATACCACACAGGAGCTTCTCCTCGGTAGCCTTCAAAGGCTTGAGCAACGCTGCCTGTACTGTCGTCACAACTGAGTAGCCAAAGGATGCGAATGAGGATTTTGCGAACTTTCGCACTTTTGTAAAGGCCCGCTGCTTGTAGGTAGCAGCTGACAGCGCTGCTGGCGGGGCCCATATGCTGCGGCTTGTCGCGGAACATGCGGTCATTGTATCTACCCCACTCTGTCCAAGCCTTCGCGAGATTCAAGTCCATTTGGATGGCGGTCGCAAACGCGTGGTTCGCGTCGTCCAGCAAATTCAACTTCGCCATGAACATTCCTTTGAGGGTGAAGAACTCGGCTTTCTGTGGAGCCGCGAAGAACATCAGATTGGTATTGTTGATAACCTCCAAGCCTTGGTGCAGTTCTGCCGGATTGCGATAATGGCACTTGGCTTGCTCTCGTAGCTTCAGGAACGCCTCCTGAATTTCAATGTTTGGGAGTTGGTAGATCTTGGTCAAGCTTGAAATGCAGACGTCATTGAGCTGATGCTTGCGCGCCACATGGGCGAAGCGATTCACGATCCAGGCGGTCTCGTGATAGCCTCGATACGCGTAAGAGTTGGTGCTTGAGCTTGCTGCGCCATTCTGCTGGAGCTGCGGTACAAGCGGTAAGTACGCTTTGTTGACGGCGCTGAAGACATGTTGGCGCCATGCCACCAGATCAGACCAAGCATTGATGTCGTCCCATCGATTTGGCAAGCGTTCGCGCCAAGTCTGCATCAGTTGCTTGAGCTCTTGTGATTTTGGGTCCAGATTGCTCGCATTAGTGCCTGAGAGCGAATTGAAAATCGAACTTGCTTCCTGCAACTCGACTAGCTGCTGGAAGATTTGAAGCAGTGGTACGTGAGCTTGTGTTACCGAAGTCGGCAGCGAATGCCATTTCCGCAAGGTGAGCTGGATTGCTTCGTCGCAAATACGACCAAATTCTGTGGGCTTTTCCGAGCTACCTTGCGACTTCAGGAGCGCCATGTACGCTGCAAAGACTCGTCTTCTTGGCGTCGAGGTCGCACTCAAATTGTCCAAGGCTTGTTCCAACACTTCGCGATCGTTGACCCAATCGGAAAGGCGCCACGCGCACTCGAGTAACAAGTCGTTGTTGCCCTCAAGCCTGGCCAAATCCGTCAAGATGTCCCACTGTTGAAGCTTCTGAGCGCAGATGACCCAATGGTCCTCCCAGAGACTGTACTCCGCTTCAGTGAATGTTAGTACGCCGGTCCGCGCCTTTGCTTGTGCTGTCTCGTACATGACTTGGGCTTGGGCCCACATCCCGGTCTGCTCGTACGAGATGGCTGCATTTGTTTCTGCGTAGACGCAGCGCCTGCGCCAAAGGCCGTAAAAGAGATCGTCTTCGGAAAGTTCGGCGTAGAGCTCGGACAAAGCATCTTGGCACGCTTCTCGTATCGAGTCATCTTCGCGCGGCAAAGATGCCAGCAGGTCCTGAAGAAGCTCCATTGCGGTGTGCCAGGCTGCAAAAGTCTTGCCCAAATACTTCACCACTTGTGGTGGTAGCTCTGGCCTTGGAGTGCAGACAGCAGCGCCGTTCAAAAGAGTCTGTACCACGTTGGGGCGCCTGCTCACCTGGCGCAGATTGTGCTCGCGAGTCAGTGTGCCTACGAGACTTCTAGTCAGATCTTCCTGTGATTTGCGCGCCAGTGCCTGCCAAGCGGTTCCAAAGAAAGCTACCCAAATTCTGTGGGTGCATTCGGAGTCGATGTACAGCAGAGGCCTGGCTGCTTGCATTAAGCCGCCAGTGGTCATGGCTCGCAGAGTAGGCGTAAAATCTGGGTTGCCACCTACGATGCGCTGCCTGATGAGAGGTTTGTCCGCGGCGATAGCACCCAGCGATAGATCGAGGACCTGCTGGATCCAGTACTGATCGGCCAAATACTCCCAGCTTTGAGTACCGAGCAAGTAAGTGAGCCGGCCAGCCAGGGACCTCACGAGCGTCGAGTCGAAGATGTCAATGAATTTTTGACGTAGAATTGGATCCCGTTGACGGCACCCCATGAGGAAAGCATTCTCGAGTCGAACAGTGAGTTCCGTACGAGCAAAAGATGGTCTGGTGTAGATGGCATGGATGAGATCCAAGAAGTCGCGAAGCAGTGCCTCGTCTCGTTGCTCGAAGCTCATCATCTTGACCAAAATGCCGGCTTTTTCTTTGACAGTAGGGAATCCTTCGTTTTGCTCGAGAATCCAGCGACGCATCATAGCGAGCAGGAAGCGACATAAGTCTAAGCTTGATGACTTCTCTATCAGCTGTACAACGGCGGAAAGGAACCAGCGCCGCTGTTCACCAAGGTTCGAGATCCGCAACTTTAAGAGGTCTAGGACCATCATCAAAAGGTTGGGATCGCTTTCGGATGGAGGACTTGTTTGCGAAGAAGCGCCTCCTGGTTGCTGTGAAGTTGCCAGACCCAAGTGATCTTTGGTAAGCTTTGTGAGTGCCTTTGTCAGAGGCGCTAGGAAATCATCGATCTTCACAGATGGAGGCAGAGGATGAAGCCAGCATTGATTTGATCAGCAAAGAAAGTCGACGCGGACGACATCACTGGTCGGGTGTCTCACCTTCTCAACCGCAACGCTCGACCAAGCGGAGAGCATAGTCAAAGCGGCGCACAAACTGGTCTGGTTCCGCAGGCCTTCCGAGATTGTGGTTTCCGCGTATTTCCGGAAATCAGCCGTCGCCTCATCTGGCTGACCTGATAGCGCCCCCTTTTTCTTGTCCTGTTCTGGCGATGATGGAGCATCCACCATGACATCGTCCTCTTCATCTCCTTCCGCGTCCTCATCCCCAGCGACGGGCTCTGGCAAGACCGCAAAAATTTGTTCCAGGAGATCACGACAATTTTCGTGAATACTTGCATCATCCGAGGCAATACTGCGCTCAAGTAGACGATGCAGCATAGCTAGGTTGCTAATGACCCAATCTCTGTCCCTGCGCTTCGTGACCAAACGAAGCGTCTGCAAGGTATTGACAAAGACAGGGATGGTAGACTCCTTGACCTCCGTTGTAGCTAAAGAACGCTGGAACAGGCTGAGCCGCACAGGCAGACTTGACCAAATATCCAGTTCCATCAAAGATTGCAAAGTCGCGAAGGCCTTAGATGTCGGCGCTCGCGTGGCAATTGACTCCTGAGACAGGCTCACAAAGCGCACCAGGAAGCCCATGATAGCCTCGCGCATACTTTGCGCAGGCACGTATGCGTGCACGCCTACTCCTTCTTGTGTAGTGGGGCTGCCCCGTTCAGGAGATGACGTGACGATGGCTTTCCCGGCGTCATCAATGCGAGCACGCTTGACCGGCAGGCTTGCAGCTTCTCCGGAGAGTTGCAAGTCAGCGGATCGCTTGGAGGGTGCCGCGTTTTCGGAAGGACCGGGGTCCAGGGCTTTCGCCCTCACTGATGAGGCTGCCTCAATCCTCTTTTGCTCCCACCGAGCAACCACGTCCACGAGCTCGACGGCCAGGGTTCGGGTTTCGGTGTTAGCTGAGGGAGAAAGACCAAGCTTGTTGAGGTTGCCAACGATATGCGGTAAGAACATTTCACGGTTCTCGTAAAAAAGATCGGAATGTCGGATGATCAATTGGAAAATGAGGTAAGCCTGAGAGACGTTGTTACCTTCCTCAACGAGCTGACGCTTGGTCCATTTAGCCCAGTGAGAGGGTTCGGCGCTGGGTACGCGCTTCGGCAATGCAGGTAGCAGTATGTCGAGAGCCTTGCGAACCATCGCTCGTCCTTCAGAGTGATGCAAACTTAGCAGCCCCGAGTAGACTCGAGCGACAATCTTGATTGGCGCGTCAAACAGCTCCAGGAATCGGGAAATAAACACGTAGGTCGTGGTCTTGACTGTCACGTCATCGGTGGCTAGATTTGCCCACCCAAACATGATGGCGTCTTTGCGAGCGCCTTGTTGAGAGGACATAAGACCTGCTGAGTGCTCCAGGACCATGGTAGAAAAGAGTATCAACTCTATCCTCACAACATCCTCAGGGCAGAAGCTGGGACCACCCTTGTTCTGAAAGGGTTTCCAAATGCGATTCACCACCTGAGTGAACAGGGCGGCATCGAAAAGCGGCTCGAACGGCTCGCTACCAGCTTCGCCAGTGGCCGGCGAATCATCCGTATCTGTGGACCGTCTTGCGACGACAAGAATTGGGTTGGCCAGAAGCCGCATGACCTCGACCTTGTACGCCGTCGGAGCGTCTTGCTTCTCCGCGACGTCGATGCAACGTGCCAGAACCGCGCGTTTGTCGGCGACGCTCGCTTTGACGGCCAATGCATCATACACGAAGCGCGTGATGTCGCTTAGATCAACCGCACCCTGGAGCGTGTGCATGCTTGCAATCGCGAAGTAGAGATCCGTGTTGTGCTTGCGACGCAGGTAGTTCGTGAATATTTCCAGGATCTGAACGGATATGCGGTCGTCACGAGGTCCTGTTTCCTCGCTGCGACGCTGCTCGTGTTGGGGAGAGGCCCAATACGTTTGCAGGGCTGCTATCAGATCATCGTTGGCGCAGATCCAGCCCTCTGACTGTTTCTCCAACTCGCGAACGATGTGCAACGCAGCCAGAGTGCGTCGCGAGTCAGAGTCTGGTGTCAGAAGGGGTAGCAAACGTGTCGCTTTGTCCGTCTCGATTTGCTGACGTAATGCCGGAGCACATTCCTCTGCTAGCGCCAACCGCAAGCAGCGGGCGTAAGCTGAGTCCTCAAGACGGCTGAACATGCAGTCACACGCTTGGGCAGGGTATCGCTCAAAATACTGAGCGAGCGGCTTTGTGAAAGGCGTGGGTCCCGATCGTCGGAGTAGCGCCTCGATGCTGCAGACTTGTCCCACCAGCTGCTCCATGAATTGACTAGCTGCTGACGGTAACAAATGAAAGATGCGAACGATGGCAGCAAGTACGCTGATACGCTCGCTCTCGCGCGGTTGCTGCAATTGACAGGGGTCAGCAAAGCGCCAAATACTTGCATTCAGCCTGCAACTCACCGGTGGCTGCAGCAAGTGATGAGCATCTGCATACTTTGGACCTTCAAGAGCACCTCGGCTTGCACGTTCAACAGCCTCGCGGTCTGCCAAGCCCTCCATGTGGACGAGCAGCTTAGAACCAATCTCCACTTTGAAGTACGACGTGAGAAGTTCGAGTAGCCTAGCCAGCCCATCGAGACCAGCCACTGTCAAGCGAGAAGCATCCGCAAGCGTCATCAAGATGGGACGAAGTCCGCTCTGTAGAACATCCTTGGGAAGCTTTGGTTGCGTCGCGAGGGTGACCTGCAGGCTATGATAAGCCTCATCGATGACTGCTTGAGAGCGCGAGTAGAGGCTTTTGAAGTACACGGCGATGATGCGAATGCGCATTTGGTTATGTTTAGCGGTCAGGAAGTCGTTACAAGCCATAGCCGAAGCCAGAAGACGGATGGCTACGACGCGCAGCTCAGTGACCGCGAGCATATTCTTGTATTGGGCTACCCGTCCAACGAGCGCTTGGTCTTCTGCATCTGCAAGCGCCAGTGCTTCGGTCAGAACTCGGAAGAGCTCTTCATTTGGCTCTGGCAGCGGTGGAGTGAGTTTCAAGCAGAAGGTTATCGCGTCAATGTGGCCAATCTGCATGCCGAAAGGAAGTGCGCGCAGGGGCTTGGTGAAAATTGGCACCAACAAGCGATCCTTGATTGGCATGAGAATTGAGGTCACACTTGCACCTCGAAGCTCTGCTAGCAGCTCGAAGGAAGCCCGTGCGATGGCTCGGACCTTACTGTTAGCGCTAGAAAGCTCTTGAACCAGCACTCCTACCAAGTAGGTAAATTGCCTCTCTTGCATCGCATCTTCTTCCGCGGAGCGCGAAGAGATCTTAGGTACATCTGTACTCTGCGTCTTGTCTCCCGATGCGTCCGTGCCTTTGCCAAGAGAGACGTTCTGAGGCTTCTCGTCGACCTTGTCACCAGACTCAGTGGATGCTGGTACAGTAGCGTCCTTGGGCTCCGTCAAGTCGCCTTTCGCGGTCGTCGCATCTCCCGCGCTGGCCTCGTTTGCGTTCTTCACGCCAGACTCGGCTGCAGCGCCGTCGCGGACGGTCGCTCCACGAGCATGCGCAGTTCTGAGGACGAAGAGGATCGTCTCGCCGACCGCATCCACGTTGCCAGGCGGGTCGCTGGGCATATCTTTGAGCATGTACAGCAGTGCTCGCATGATCTCAAGCTGATGCTCACGGAGCCAGTGCGTCCCTAGATCAGCGCGCCTGACCATCATATCAATAGCGAGCCAGCCGCCCGTCTTTCGTTGCCAGAGCGGATCGTAGCAGAGCGTGCAGTGCTTGGAAGCAAGACTGTGCATCAGTGTGGTCCATTGCTCTTGACGCGAGGCTGCGATGCACGCCTGCCGGCCCGTTGCAATGATTTGGAGCTCCAAGTTGACGATCGCGGTCCTATCAGCCGCTTCATTGTCGTTCGCAGCCAGAGCTTGAGCGACTCCTTGCATGAAGCAGACCATCAACGAGCTCGGTTGTCTCGTGACAGACGTGTCGCGTCGTGTCTCCAGTGCAAAGATGTGTTTCGAAAGGCCAAGCAAGTAGTTTGTGGCACCTTCCAGCTCCTGCCGGTCAGGCTCGCAGTACGTAGCCTGAAATAAAGCCTTGACAATGCTCTCGAAGCACTTTTCTCGCTCGCCACCAGCATTGGACAGCACACCGTCTATGAAAAGAGCCGCAGCATGCCGAAGCAGCTCGAAAGCGTGCTTGCGGTAATGATTTTCCGTTCGAGCCATCCCAGCGAGAGCGAGTTCGACCAGAGGCACGAGCTCCATGCTCTGCGCTTTGTCGTCGAAACAGACCGCGAAAGTCATTTGCTGGTGATCCTTGTAGTTCAGACGCGGAGGCTGTTGGAGCAAGCGTCGATTTCTGCCGCCCATCTTTCCGAGTATGCGCATTGTAGTATGGGAGTGCTGATGGTTGTGCGGCAATGGTTGCAAGTGCTTCCACAGCGCGCCCATGATGTCCTGCAGGTAAGGCGCCATGATAGGATCCAAGAATTCCTGCGTGAGGTTATCTATGCAGAGCTCCAAGGTTCGAAGACCCTGACTGACGAGCTCGGTGGAAGACTGAAGCGCCAGTACCAGAGGTCGCATCAAGTATCCCAAGTAGGGCAGCAACACGCTCAGACGGACCGGCACAGTTAAGCACAAGTCCACAAAGAGCTCCCTTCGAGACGGCTCGGCCGCCGTGAGCAAGTTGTTCAGATTTTCGAGAAGCACTGGCAGCAAGGGCAGCACGTCCTTGTACAGCAGCTCAAAACGCCCTCCGCCGATGCTGCGGAACAGCGCTCTCAGAAGCAGAAAGTAGTTCGCGGGCTCCACAGCTTGGCTTGCCAGCTTCATCGAGGTCATGATGATGTGGCTAAGATGAGGTTGCAAGACTGCTTCGTTGTCTTCTGGGAATATGGTGACCGCCATGAATGCCATTTTGAAGAGCCGGAGCGTCACGGAGGCCGTCTTCTTGTCGGCGTCACCAAGCTCGCTGAGACGATTTACGAGGTATTGGAAGAGAATCGCTACGAAGCGCTTTGAAACAGCATCGTTCGACATAAGGCTTTGCGGTACCCCAAGTAGATTCGGGCTGAGCAGAATGCGCTCAAAGAGGAAAGGCATATGCGTCGAAAACACCTCATGAAACGTGGCGGGGTCCAGATCTAGGAAGATGTTGGTGAAGAGCTCCATCACCTCTTTATCTGGCATGCCTTCTGTTTGCTCGTACAAGGTCCAGCATTTGACTCCATCGACAAAGAGCCGACCCATCATCTCACCACTCGGTTCTGGTAGCTTGCGCCTCCTGAGAGCTGGGAGCAGTGACTTGAAACCCATGAGAAGATTACGGAAGAGGAATCTTGCGTCTTTGATGGCCTCGACGCCAGGAATGTCGGGCAGCATGACGCCCGCTCCAATGACTTTTGCTCGCTCAATTGCGATGATGGGCGGCTGCGCATGGACACTCTGACCATGCGCGTCTTCTGAGGCATCATTCGCACCAGTTGACGTCGCATTTGCTTCTGCCTTGTGTTGACGTGCGAGATCAAGATCCTCTCGTAGACGAGGCAGCGAGGCGAGTTTTTCGAAGAGCGCCTCGAGAATAGTCGAGAGGACGGGACCAATCTCCTCAGGGTGGCGCATGACGCTTGGATCCGACAAATTTAAGAGCAATTTGACGCACATTGTCTGGATACTTGGCGCTAATGTCGGATCGTGCAAGAAGCGGATGTGTATCTTGACTATCCGCGCTATTTGACTTGCATTCAGTTGCGGCCGGACGTGGTGCACCAGATCTGCCAACATGCTGATTGCTAGAGGTCTCAGAGTCTCCCGCGAGGTAATGCCAGTACCCGTCATCACTCGTTCGTCCAGCAGAACGTCCACCTGAGAGATGAACGCGCTGCGAAGCTCGGTTGATAAAATGTGACGTGTAGCGACGAGCAATTCCTTGCGCGACTGGCTGGCGTCCGGAGGCAGATCTTGCAAGAGTCGTACCGCAATGATCGGAAACTCCTCGGCGTAGGGTCTCATGGCATCTGCAGTTCCTTTCGTCACGTATGCCAAGAACGACATCATCTTGACCTGCGTGCTCATGAAATCTGCATACAGGGCAGGATTTTGAATGCCTGGCACAGCACCTACGAGCACTTCCCCTTTGGCTTTGGCAGCTAGCCTAGCATCTCGCTGCTGTGGCGCCTCTAGCCGCAAGCAGTCCTCGATAATGAGTGGAACGAAGAGCCGAATCGCGCTAGCGACAGTTGACCGAAAGGTTTGAAGGATGAGAACGATGGCGATTGGACACTCCGTGAGCACTTTGAAGCTGCTGCTGCTTTTGACCAGCATTTTGGGCTGAGCGTTGGCGTGAGCGCTAGATGTGCCGGTGCCTGGACCAAATTCGCTGCCTGTCATGCTGGCAGCCTGCGATTCTGCTGCAGGAGAAGGCGCACCCATTGGCGAGTCTACCGCAGGCTGGATAGGAGAAGGACACGCCACGCATCAAAGATGGTACAAATTTCAGTACAGCAACAGGCTCTACTTACACCTTCTTGCTTGTTCATTGATCCACCAGTGCTATCGCTCGCAGACGACTCTGGATCGAACGCCTGAGCAACCGTCGACTTCATGCACTTGTACAACTCGGCGACGACTTTGAGGAAAGGTGCGACCTCTGACTCGAGTTCAGTCTTCAAGGCTCTGTACAGATCAATGATGACCTTGAGCGCGAGGCCTGCATTTTCTTCATTGTCGTCCTGCATGACTGCCATCATGCAGCGGAGTAGAGGTTTGCATTGGGCCCTCGCTCGTTCAATGCCCGGCAGACGATGAAGCGTTTCCAAGAGCAGGTGCCGTAGCCTCTGCGCGGTATTATCATGGTGGCGATGTGAGCATCGACAAGGAAGAGGAAGAGATGCACTGTTCGACCAAGCCAAGTCCTTACCTGCTCATGGCTGTCTGGCTGCAAAGAGCATGGTACGCTGGCCAGAGCTGAGATGGTCGCAGGAATGAATGCTTCCAAAAAAGCTACTGCATCTGCGGCTGCTGCTGATTCCGTTGCCTCCTTGAGCTCTATGGCAGCCTGCAGTCTCGCTTTGGTTTCTGCAAAAGGCGGATGTGAGGAACGGACGCGTCAGCTGCTAACGACAAACAAACCTCAACCCCGTCAAGTCGCGGTGTGGACGTACCATTCTTGGTGTCGGTCAGCCGAGCAGCTGACTGCCGAATGTCGGGGCCTGCAGACTTTCCCGATGGACCAGCTGTGGGTGTTGGCGCGCCATCTGGGGTGCCTGCCGCGCTGGCCTTGAGCGCTGGGCTGTCGGTGGAGGGTCCGGCGGATGCCATCTTCACCCGGTGAGGCCCGTGGTGAAGCCGGAAATGAAGATTATGAGGAAGGCATAGGCCACAAAAGTAGTGAAGCCGTGAAGACGCCCTGAGACTGTGTGGCCAACGATGGATGTAATGTTGGCCAAGCCGACTAGGAGGTGGATGGAGGGAACGCGACCTCGGACCATGCACGCGTTCTTCTGGAGAGGAAACGCCCGAACAGTTCATTTTGCCTCGTTCGTGGGGGAGCAGCTCGAGAAGGCGAGGGTATTCCAAAAGCGAGCTATCACGTGACATGGACACCGTGCACTATAGCCCTTCCTTTGGTGCGCTGTGTAGCGCGAACTGCAAACTGTACCCCGCGCTGGAAACATGTATGTGCTGCTAAACATCACCCACACTCCCGACCGACACTCCCACAGGCACCGCTACCCGAATCGGAGCCATCAACTTCAGGGGAGGCCCCTGCGCCCTCGAACATCCAGAACAACCTGCCCCTGCACATTTCCGAGGTCCCTGTGCGCGACGAAGGAAGATAAGTTGGTGATATCGCAACCAAACGGCTGCTTCCTCAGCACAGATCCATCACACGCACAAATCACCCAGAAAATAGGCATCGCATGTCTCTGCTACTGCGGCTCTTTGAGTCCGCATACTTTACACCTCAGTTGGCCGTATCCTAGTGAGTAGCGCAGCTGTAAGCAATAGAAGAGGAGGCTGCTGATCGCTCGCACACCTTCGGCAGTCTGGACACATACGCGGAGAATGTTGGCATCACCTACTACCTGGTTGATTGGTTGAGGAAGAAGGGTGGCGATTCGGTGGATTTTTACTGGCCGCAGATCTGGTGCGTGGCATCGATATTGGCTGTCTGTACGGACGCATGCAGCTGATCTGATACTGCCCGAATGATCAATCGCAGCTACTTGCTCATCACACGACCGTCAGAGTCTCGCGCTCTCGAATGCTTCGTGCTGCAGCGGTGCGATGAGTCGGTTCACGTCGCCTTGCTGGTACGTATCTGCTCGCGCTCGCTATGTGAAAGCTATGGCTCAGTATGCGTCTGTTCGTGCCCACAGACACTATGGCATTTCCAGGCTGCGCTCTCGGATCTCAGCGCGACCCCTCAATCCCCATCCTTCGCCGTGTGCCAGCGGATCTTCAATGCCTGTCAGAGAATCCTATTCAACGATCCCCTCTCCTCAGCATCTCTGGTCGTTACCTCATCCTCGTCATCTTCTGCGGTGGGCTCGGGTCGCCGAAGACGGATGATTGTGGCAGCGGGGAAACGAGTCGTAGCCAAGGTTCTTCCGAGCAACCCAAAGGCCAGCGCGGTCGGCATTGGCGCTGTGCTCGCCAGCGTACCTGGCATGCCTGAGTTGGCTCATGTCGCGGGCACAATAGCTATCGAGCAGGGACGCAGAAGACCGCTCGGCCTAGACAGGGCAGGACTGGAAGGTGATGCTGGCCCACAAGGCGACTCTTCTGACGAAGCGGAATTTTCAGATGTGGATGAAGCTGAGGAGTCACAGCCTGGGGAAGACTCAGCTCCAACGTCAGCGACGAGTACCTCAAAAATTGGAGCGGCTTCAGGGCAGCTTACAGCTGCCACAGCTGTCTCAGAACGCCAGCCTGTCGGCCCGGCACGGACAGCCACCGCACCGCGTGCGTCCACTGCATCCTCCGGAGGCATTCTGAAAACGCCAATTAACGGCAAAGCATCTTCATCAAATCCTTTTGCGACCTTTGCCTCTCGTTTTGATGCCGGCTTCAACGAGTTCCGTGGCAAGGCAGCCGCTGCTGTTGGAGATGCGTTGGGACAAACACTAGGAGTCGAGTTTGTCCCCGGACCAACACCAGCAGCTCGAGCGCCAAAACCACCTCCCGCTTGGCATCCTCAAAGGCGGCCACGACCGTCTCTGCAAAGGCAGGCGGCGCGTTTCCGCTCGGTACCCAATCTTGCGCCGGGAGCAGGTGATGGAAGCATGTCTCCCTTCGCTTCGACCGCCGCGCTGCCATCTGTCGAAGACACTCCTCAGTCAGCGGACACCATCCTCACGCAGTACGACGAAGAAGCGCGGAGACGCTTACTTAGGTCAAACTACTGCCGCGAGCAGACACAATTCCTCCTCACGCTCCAAGACATCTCTGCTAGACTTTTGCTGATCCCAAAGCCTGCAAGAGTGTCGGCGTTGCGCGCGGAACTAACGCAGCTGAATCACAGGCTGCCAAGTGAGGTGTGTTTCCCTCTATGGTGTCGTGCAGATGTGCAAGATGGGCGTGAGACCAGTGCCGCAAGTATCGCCGCAGAGACTGGGGCCGCTACAGTCGCTCCCGACCACGCACCCGGAGACCGACATCACCGCGTGGTCCGCATCAATCCGTCCGAAGCAGTCGTGCTCAATTCGGCGGATCGAGCGCCCTTCTTGCTGCATGTCGAAATCCTTCATGATGATCTCGACTTCGACCCGCAGCGCAGACAAAACCGCGAGAGTCTCAGAAAGCTGGTGCTTCAAGAGGACACTCGCAGGCGAAAATTTGCTCTGTCGAGGAGCTTCTCCCATGCAGACTCTAGCAAAGAGACCATCGGCAGTCGCAGGGATACTACGGAAGGCACGGCGAATTCGTCCAGTCAGCCCACCACGCCGTCGGCGGGACCGCCGGGAACCCCTCATGCAGAGCTGCGAACACTTGCCCCTGATGCAGCCATCTCGCGCGGAAAGACTCCGCCGCTACCGACTCGTGTCAGAACACCGATGCCTGAGGACGACGGCGAAGAGATTGACTTGACCGAACAGGCATATGGCTCTGACTTGGCAGCATTCGGAGAGGTGCGTGATCCGGAAAGCGATGAGGAGGACTTGACCACGATGAATCGCGTCCACGACACTGCAGCATGGACCTCAACACCAGACAAGGAGCAGAGTGGCAAGGAAAGCAGTACAAAACACGCGACGAGTGGTTCGTCGGGTAATAACCGCGCCTTTTCTCTCGACGAATACTCTGAAAGAATGAAGACAGCGGCCGTCATGCTGGCGCAGCTCAATCGCAGCACAAATGCGGCGGCGCAGCCCATTGTAGTACACAATCCTCACGTCAGCGCGACCGCTCAAGGTGGTTGGTCTAGCTGGTTGATTGGCACCAGTTGGGCCTCCAACAACTCTTCTGGCAGCCCAAGCGAAGCGGGCCAGGGTAGCGCTGGCATCAAAGCACCCGTCAACGGTAGTACAGCTCCTGCCGCACCTCGAGCGTCCACTGCAGGCTCCGTGACAGAGGGTCTGCAACAAGCCCTCTCCATCGGGACTGCCAGCACGGGCACATCCAATGCCGCCGCAACTTCTGCCAAGGTGATGCACACGGATACAGAAGCTATTCGACGTCGCATCATGCAGGAGATGATGGCGCTAGAAGAGGAGCGTATGGAACGAATGAAGGTGGCGCCTCGGAACATGGGTCGCACAGGTCGAGGCAAGCGAGGCGGTGCTGGAAGAGCTGATGAGGACGAAGCGACAGTCATGCGAGCGGTCAACAAAGATGATCCGTCCGCTGCGATATTCCGCGAGAGTTGGGCTGCGAAAAAGTCCAGAATCAGAGCGTCTAGTCCGTATGGCCACTTGGACTCGTGGGACGTCTTTTCGGTCATTGTCAAGACTGGTGCCGACTTGCGGCAAGAGCAGCTCGCAGTGCAGCTGATCGCAGAGTTTGGCAGGATATGGAAGGAGACGGGCTCGCGTTGCTGGGTGCGGTACTTTCGCGTTCTCGTCACGAGCGAGAACTCTGGATTAATGGAGACGGTCACCGACGCGGTCTCTGTGCACTCTATCCGCAAGGAAGCTTACACTCGACGCGTCAATGAGGGCAAGCTGGGCAATTATTCGCTGTACGATCATTTCGTTGAGGTGGGTAAAGAGGCACTGCCAAGTTTGTCGAGCCCGTTGCTGAGGCGCTAATAAGGCGCTTGTCTTTGTAGACGTTCGGCGACTCGTCTTCCAGCAAGTTCGGCAAGGCGCGTGAACGATTCATGGAATCGCTTGCTGCCTACTCCATCATCTCGTACCTCTTGCAGATCAAGGATCGCCACAATGGAAATATTCTCATCGATGGCGAAGGCCACGTGATTCGTGAGTAAAGCGGCCTGGTGGCACGTGCCGTTTGACGTTGAGCTCAGAGAAACGCGACCGATACACTGCGCAGACATCGATTTCGGGTTCATGCTTGGAATATCTCCAGGGGGCGTCGGATTTGAAGCAGCTCCTTTTAAATTGTCGCAGGATTACATTGACATTATCGGCGGTTTGGATTCACCAAAATTTGCCGAGTTCAAAGCGCTCTTCCAAGCTGGTTTCCGGGATGTGCGCAAGCATGCAGAACGTATCATTATGATGGTGCAGCTCATGCAGCGAGGTGAGTCTACGATCGGGTGCCATATGCACACGACCGGCAGCTGATGCTAGACCGCCATCGACATGCACAGGTTCCAAATTGCCCTGCTTCTCCTTGGGAGAGCTCACTGCATCCAACCTGCGAGATAGATTCCAGCTTGCGCTGAGCTCTTCTCAGTGCGATGCTTTTGCTGAACGTCTCGTCGAGTCTTCTGCAAACAGCGTGTTTACGCGGTTATATGATACGTACCAATACCACTCTCAAGGCGTATTGTAGAAATTTCCGCCAAGTCACGCATCACAATGCACTGCTTTGCAACACATTGAGCGCAGCGACAAAGGGGATCAGTGGGGATGGGGAGAGGAGTGGAGTGGAGTGTTTTGATGTGCGTCGGTATTATGCGAGGCTGGAGTACGTATGGCTGGCTTTTTGAGAATCTCCGCACGGTCTGACGGTGACTTTGTGACCGGCTTGGATGATGCCGGCAGCTTGAGCAGCTGTGACGAACCAGCCCCAACCTTTTCGTGCAGCATTGGCATCACCACTGATGCGGTATTTCAGCGCCAACATGGGCGAATTGTAGGGCAAGACTTGGCAGTGCAGATGCAGGTGAGACACGCTTCTAAAGGGCGGAATGTGAAAACCGAATCTTCTTTCTGCATCTGATGAGGGGCGCGGCGTGCTTCTGCTGCTGCTGCTGGTGGTGGTGGTGGTGGTGGTGGTGGTGGTGGTCAGCTTGTCGCGCGAGGGAGTCCGCTCTGACTCGACAAGATCGATGGCTTCGTTACCGAACACTTGCAGATCCAGAACTGACGTTGGTGGTTGCAGTGAAGCGGTTTGGTCAATCGAGTCAGAATTGCAAGGCCGATGATGTTGTCATCTGCTAACGATGGGCGATGAACGCACTCAGCTTTGCTCCCTCTTCCCCCATCAGCACCGTCACATCGTCAATGTGCTGTCGAGGTACAGCCAAGAGGTGAATGGCGGCTGCCGGGCTGCATCCAAGTGCGCAACAACACCAACAACAGACATCATCACATCAGCGCCCGCACGAACAATGCGCGCGTCAACCCCCGACACACCAAATGAAGAAATTCGAAACTCTGCATCGCTTGGCACTGCTCCGCTAACTCACGATCGATCGTGAAAGGCGATGAATTGATCCGAAGTGTGCACCACTCTGAATTTGGGCGAGTCGGGTGTGAGATTGGGAGGACAAAAGATGCATCCTTCTTGTGCGGCGCCTTTGATCGTCGTCGATTTGTTCTCATCCATGCCCGATGACGAGGAGTGGCAGCTCAGCCATCCGAAAATCTTCGACTGCATCTTGGCGGAAGGTCGGCTTCGGGGTCGAGGTGGATGAAGGTGATAGCTTACGAGTGTGATGTAGGAGCCACCACTCACCACTGCTCGCAGTTAAGTGTCACGATCTCGAGGCAAGCGCGCCGAATGTGTGGCCCGCACGCGCGTGAGTCGATGCCGACGAGGTCCGAGCGCCCAGTCCTGTACCTGGAACTCCGCGGAGAAGAATCGTGAAACCCGCGCATGCTGCAGCATCTCATCGTAGACGCACGCTGCGTAATCGAGGGACTTGAACATCAGCAGCATCATCGTATTCATACAGCGCAGCTCCACTTCGCTCTTCTTCCCACTCATCCACCCAAGACATGCTGGCAACATCAAGGGACGCATTTACTCGAGGCATGCAGGCGCGTCAGATAAGAAGCGTAGGATCGAGATTGCTCCGTACACCCACGCACAGTTGTGTTCGGTGCACCACATCACACGGACCCGTGGGGAGGATTGCAGCACAAAGGTCCTGGGCGAGCAGGGAACAGCAGGCGATTCGATCTTTCTTCTCCTTTCGCGATATCCTCTTCGCACTTGGTCGGTCGAGGCGTGGTGTTGAGCAAGCGGAGATGGGCGATCAGCAGGGACAGAGCGCTGGGCATCTCGTCTCCCCACTTCTTCCTCCTCCTGCTCCAACGCGCACACTGAAGGCCAACGAGGGTCCCCTGGTCTGGATCGATTGCGAGTGAGTAGCGCACACGTCGCGCCTGCAGTCATGCCTTCTACATCGCGCTTCCATCCTGCTTGGCTGCAGCATAGCACGAAGCCTACGAGCTCAAGATTAACTCGTCTTGGCTTGATACAGGATGACCGGCCTCGATCCGCGAACAGAGAGGATCATAGAGATTGCTTGCATCATCACTGACGGGCAACTCAATGAGCTGGACGAAGGCGTAACTTACGTGATCAAGCAAGACAAGGCCGTTCTGGACGCCATGGGAGAGTGGTGCGTGAGTAGCCTGCAGATCGTTGAACACGCTACCACCACCTAGTCCAGTCGAACCACGCTCGCTCATCTTTCCCCTCCTCTCCTCAACCTCTCTCAGACTCGTCAACATGGTCAAGTAAGCCAAAGCCATGCTCGTCGTGCAATGCAAGGCTGCCTTTGCTAGCTCGTTCAGTCCGACTGACAAGCTCGCTCGTGCAAAAATCCATACAGTCCGGTCTCACTGCAGCTTGCCTCTCTGCCCAAGCTCTGGCGCACGCCGATGTGAGAGCGGCAATACTGACCTACGTCAAGGAGCGCATTCCACAAGCTCGTGTGGCGTGTCTGGCCGGAAATACGGTGCACGCAGATGCCGCTTTTCTCAAGGGCGAAATGCCAGAGGTGCGTTTTTTGCCTCTCAAGCTGTCTGACCAGCCGTGGAAAAGCCGGCGACGAGCTCCCTGAGCTCATCCTGGCAATGATTTCACATTCGCTTCACACAGCTCATGCAACACCTACACTACCGCATTGTTGACGTGAGTCTTTCTCACGTCTCTACGCCTCGCCCGCCTCGTCGCTGAATGCGCACTTTCCACTCGCAAAAGGTATCCACCATCAAAGAGCTCGTGTCACGTTGGTACGGCCCGCAGAGCAGATGGCAGGGCGGCAAAGGCGAGCACAGAGCTTTGGAAGACATCAGAGGCTCCATAGCCGGTGCGTACGCCTTCGCGCTCGTGCTCGAAGTTCGATTCGCTAAGCACCTGCGGCCCGTTTTGCAGAGTTGCGCCATTATCGCGAAGAACATTTCATACCAAAACTTTTCAACTGATCGTCGGCGCGCGGTACAAGACTTGTAGCAATGCATGCATGCTCGATCTGACTGCAAAGGTGTAGAGGTGACGCCCAGCAAAAGCTGCGGCCCCACTTAGGCAGGCGTGCAAACGATGGGAGCATCCGAGTGAACATCGATGAAGAAGCCCGTTTGGATGCCTGCGCCGTGATACCTGGGCAGCAAGAAGTACTCGCCCTGAGAGAGTCTGAGATCGTCGATCAAGACGCCGCATACGTGGTCGACAAAGGGTCCACTGGTCTCAACCTGACGACCAGTAGCAGCGTCCATAATGCTGAGCTGTACGGCTGGTCGACCTGAGCTGGCAACTTCTCGACTTTGAAGCCGCACAACAAATTTGGAGCTTGGCTGCTTCACCTCCAGCTTGAACTTGGGCGGGGACGATGACACGTTCCAAGATCCTCTGCAACAACGCGTGTACATACCTGCTCCTTCGGGTGGAATCTGTTCCAGCACCAAGTATGGAATGGAGCTCTGCACATTTAACATGAAGCTGCCTTCTTGACCCGGCTCAAAAGTCTGCAGCACAAGCGTGTAGCTTCCAGCTTGCACAGAGGCTTGCAGGACGGCGAGACCGTAGGAAAAGTCGCCGCTGGATGCCACCACGTCTGAGCTGATGCAGTGCGAAACACGTCGACCGCTAGACCAGAGTAGAAGGGCTTGAACAGGCAGGTCCTTGCTCGCTTCCAACGTGAGCAATATATCGGCGTTGGACGAGGTGGAAGGGACGATCATCCGAAATTGGGGATTGTGTACGAATGTGGCAAATGTGCTGTTTCCTCCCGCTGAGCGTGCTTTCCATGCGCCGGGTAGCTGCGAAGAGCAGCGCAGCATCGTGTCAGGACTATGACGTGTCACAAAATGACCGCCACACTCACACTGATCTCGTGCGGATGAGCTCTAGGCAGCTCGCTGAGTGTCATTTCGTGCGTGCCGTGAGCACGAAGGGTGAAGGAGGCATCATCTGCACCGCCATGTCTAGAGACCACCAAAGTGTAGGAGCCGCTCGTCGAGGCTGGCACTCTGAATCGGACGAGGTTGTGCATCCCATCGATGTAGGTGCCCTGAGCCGCAAAGCACAGACTATGAGCGATGTGTACACGCGCAACCTAGACCTTTTGCAGCTCACCATTTTGCCATCCACTCGCTGCCTGTACATGCGCTTATTGCCCGCATTCTCAAAGACGTGCAGGGCGACATAATCCCCCGACCCCGTCAAATTCTCCTTAGTCGGCCCAAAATGTCGTGCTAGATGCAGCCACACTTCTTTGCCTTCGCAAGCTCCATCCGATTTCAAAATGTCAAGCTTCAGCTGCGGATTCTGACGCATGCTCTCCCCCAAATCTGGAGCTGCGGTGCCTTGCTTGCGAAGCGTGAAGTGTGCTTCCACGCTGTGCTTCATCAAGGATGGGTTCCAATTGACGTACAAGGCGTCAAATCGTTCGCACACCTCGTCCCAGCTCATCCAGAATGGCTCTGAGCGCAAAGCGTCGTTGGGATTGGCGGGCGACTGCACGCTGTCCAAGTGCAACCGACCCTCCTGATCGCGGCCTCGTTGACTGCTCCACGGATTGAGACAGAGCACAGACCTGCTACCGTCCTTTTCGCCAAGTTGAAGCACCGCATAATCATGCGAGTCGACCAACAGATCCAGAGACCCGTTTGCGTCTGTGCTAGAGACTGCATTTGCACCCGCACCAGTACCCGCGGTGATGATCACGTCTCCCTTCTTCCAGGCACCCGACAGCCTCTCCCATGTTTTTTCTCTTTGAAAACCAGCGTGGCTTCCGAGTCCCACCTGCTCCGGTATCCAGCCAGTCAGGGCGTACAGATCTGCCGCGCTGTTGGATCCTCGGAAGTCATAGCCGCCCATGACTCTCAGATAAGCCTTTTCAATCAAGCTGGGCCACAAAACGAAGCTTGAGGCTGATGGCGAAGCCTCGTCTGCCCTCTGTTGCCCTCGAGCGCACATGGGCGTTCCGTCTGCGTAGCAGGGCAGCTCGTCATTGATGGGTACACATCGTGTGGTGCCGTTCAGGTGAAGTCGCACTTTGTGCTCGCCTGCTGGCGACTTGCAGGGCCGTCCATTGGCATCTTGAGGGAAGAGGGCTGAAGAAGCCAGCTACGAGGAGAGTGCAGTATCACTTCGAGTCAGCATCATAGTCCAGCACGTCTTATATCAAGGTGCCTCACCTTCGTGCCCCAAACTATGTCGTGCTCCGCAGCTGCCTCCAACGCTGCCACTACGCTACAGTCGGTCACAACGTCCTGACGTATATCCTCGCCTCGCAATGGTTCCTTGCCCTTGATGGTACCATTCGGACTTCTGTACTGCACACCCAGCGCCTGTTGAGCGGGCGAGAAGGGCGAAAGCGGCAGCCTGAACGCGGCACGAGGGCTATGATGGCTCAGCAGATGAGCCTCGCGATGATGCAACAATGAGCGACTCACGGCTTGAGGTTCGAAGGTCCGCCCTGTCCATCCCACTGCTCGTACCTGAGTCCAGCTATGAGAGCAGAAGCTGACAACGTGCGACTTTGCTGTGCTGCAGTGCTTGAGCGTGCACATCGCAGAAGGAATGGCATCCATCAGCGCCCCTCCGCACCCCCACCACCTGGAAATGCCACGACGCGCAGAGCTCACTCACCTGGATCCAACAATCCCTTGTCCCTTCTCAAAGGTCTCACTTTTTCTGCCCTTTGCATCACTCTTCCAGCAGCATTTCTAGCCCTCTCACGAACATCTGCACTCTCACCCGACCGTGCCAATCTCATGTAGATTTCCGCTGCTCGTACATAGTTGGTGAACGCGCCATCGTAGTCCCTTGACAGCTCGCTCTTGGCTCCTGCTGTGCTGTAGGATGCTGCTTGATCGGACCACGTGGAAGACATGCTTTTCCACACAAAGCAGGCCTCAAGAGGGTCTTGACACCTCCAACGGCGGCCAATCCGAATGAAAGCTTTCGCTTGAAAGGGATCAGATCGTCGCGTGTTGAACTGGTGACAGAGCCGTAGCAGGTTGATGGAGGGAAGGAACGGGCGAGGCCGCGTCGAGCCAAGACAAGCCGTATCTGCGTGACTATATATCGCAAGCGCGCAGGGATTCATCATGGAATCACGAATGCAAGGCGTCATGCAGCAACGACGATGCATATACCGCGCGTACGGCGGCGCGGCTAGCTGCTGCCATGGGCTTGGACCCTTGCCATGCTCGCGCGCGCGAACCACGCTCTCCCTTCCAATCCGCCGTGCATCGCAGCAGCACGGACTCGTGACTACAGCGGCCGCATCTTCTTCTCAGCCCCAAGCTCTACGCCCATCCTTGCTTCTCAGCAAACACGCCCCCGTCAACATCACCAGACGCCTTCACCAAAAAGCTCGTGCTGCCAGTCCACCTCGTCTGCCATGTCGAACAGATGACGCATTCCACTGACTTGCTTCCTTCAAGCGCTTCTGAGAATAGCCCTCGTGGCTCGCTCCGCACTCATCTCAGAACGGCAACGTGTCAGCGGCGCATGGAGCAGCACCAGGTTCAAACATCATGCCTTTCACGGGTCGCAAACAGGGCGGCGGCGGCGGCGACGGTAGCCATGCGCCGCTTATAGTCCTGCCACCTCTCAGTCGACACCTATCCATCCTTGGTCTTCTCACATTCTCCTCTTTGTGGGGCACTCTAGCCCGTCTAGGTTTGGTAGCCATCAACACTTATCCAGGTCAATCCATCGCGCCCGTCATCTGGGCGCAAGGTGTAGGCTGCTTCATCATGGGTTGGGCAATGTCCAACAAGAAGTCCATCGACGATCTTTATCCGCCGCTCTATACCGCCATCACTACTGGCCTATGCGGCTGCATCACCACGTTTAGCGTTTGGGTGCTGGAATGCTTTAGAGCGTATGGCGATCAGTATCATCATGGCAGGAGCGGATTTTACAATGTGAGCCAATACAGGCCGAACTTCGCTCTCACCAAGTCAAGTCTGCTTTGCTGACACTTGTGCCTGCCCCCTTTCCCAAACGCACAGGCGATGGACGGATTGACGCAGACTATCGCCACGCTCGCCGTCTCCTTGGCCTGTCTATCAGCAGGCCACCACTTTGCCAACTTCTTACCTTTCAGCCTCTTGCTTCGCGTACTCGACCCTCGTAGGAGTGCGCATACATCATCAGACGTACACTTGGACACAGTCAGGCAGAACGCCTCTACTGACTTTCGCAGCGAAGAGGCATCAAGTGGCACTCAGACGCAAGTCCGCAATGCGTCGTCTGGGCAACAACGAGAACACAAAGGCGTGGCCGGACACGACTCAGAGGATGTGCTGCGCGAGGCACCCTTCACCCACGGCGGTCCAGCGCGAGCCTTCGTATCACGCCAAGGGCCTCGAGGCGTGGGTGATCAGAGCAGAGTGCTAGATTTTTCCTGTTTCGTCCTCGGCCTAGCTTTCTGGATCGGTTCGGCTCTTCTGTGTGCTTTTTACGCTCCTTGGCGACGCATCACCTTCAGTCTGGTCATGTCTCCACCAGGATGCGTGCTGCGCTGGTACCTCAGCTTCTTCAACCCTCTACCAGCATCGCATTCTTCCAAGCTCAGCCTAGGCACGCTGGCTGCCAATCTCGTAGCCACGCTGTTCGTCGGTACTGCTTTCGTCCTGCAACACGTAGGTCGAGCAGCCGGGTCGGCGGGAGGCGGCGCGTACTCCATGACGGGTTGCGCAGCCGCTTATGGTTTAGAAGAAGGCTTTTGCGGTTGTCTGAGCACCATCAGCACCTTTGCAGCCGAGCTCAGAGCAGCTAAGGGTAGATCTGCGGTCTGGTACGCAGCGGTCAGCTACATAGCTGGAATCGCCATCTGTGTCCTCATCATCGGATCGCCATGGTGGAGCTTGGGCATGGACGGCAGCTGCGTTGGCCTGTACCCAGTTGGGTAAAGACAATGCAGCGTCATTCTTCTTCGAACCTAACCTTTGGAAATGCGCAATAGATACCCCGAGTTGCACACAAATGAGTCTGCACGAACTCAACGGTTTTGTCATTGGATGGAAGGCTTCCGTTGGGATGAAGAATACAGATGCGGAAGAGTGTGAAGAAACGGACAAGGGGGTGAAAGGCACGCTGCGCGCGAGAAGTGCTGCTGGGCAGCCAAGGTGACGGGTCCGAAAAGGGCGATGCGGAGGTGGCAGATTAATGAGCGTTGATACAGAGACTCCGCCGTGGCAACGTGGCCGAGGAAATGGAAGCGCAGGGGGAGATCGAGGAAAAGAGAGCAGCAAAAAGTAATGTTGGGAAAGTCAAAGAATGGAGAGGAGTAGGTGCGAGCAGCGCAAGACATCATGACACCGAGCAACCACTTGAGTACCACCACGTGCTTCTTAGCTGCTCGATCCAGTAGACTACGACTCGCATACGGATGCGTGGACTGCGAATGGGCAAGAGCCTAGCCTTTTCGTGCTCGTCTATGGGCATGACCAAAGCCATCCAAAAGCTGAGCTTCGCTACTTCGTGCACATCTGGCATCGGTCCGTAGGTGTGGTTGATGCGCGTGACTAGCCAAGGCGCGGTGCCTGATCTCAATTCAGAAATGAAAGTCATGCACGTCGCGATCATCTCCGCCGTGGAAGGCTCGTGTTGATGCGCTTCGAGCGGAGGCAGTCCGACCTGAGCCAACTCTGTCGCCTCGTAATCGGGCTGAACGATAAAGTCCTCCGCTTGAGTTGCTTCAGGAACCTCTGGTGGGACGCTTGATCGTTCCTGTCGAGACGAAGAGGTGGCCTCTTGCGCGCCATGCTCGGCTTCCGCACGGTCCTTGGCAGCATTGCGAGCCATAGCTGCTTGCTCCAGTTGTTGTTCTTGCGAGGCGCCAAAATCGCTGACGGTTTCGATTCGGCCAACGATGTAGCCGTCTAGCGATCCCATCTCGTGAAGACGGAAGCGATCCGAGCCCACCGTCTCAATCATCGAGCGACCGTCGGGCAGCATCTGGACGCTCTTAATGTCCAGCATGGTACCATACTCGCTCATCCCTCCCGGCGAGTCGCGTGAATGCAAAACCATCCCGAACCTCGGATTGCCGCTCTCGACGCAGCGTCTGATCATCAAACGGTACCGTGGTTCGAAAATGTGCAGTATAGTGGGCATCTCTGGGAAGCCCACAGTGCAGACGAAGATGGGGGTGGATAGGCGAGCTTCGCGCTCTTCTTGCTCCAGAGCTGTCTTTCGCTCAGTGTACAGGCGCTGAAGACCGCGAATGTCTGGTGGAAGCGAGGCCCAATCGACAGCAGCTTGCAGCTTCACATCCGTTGAGGCTTTTGCTGCGGGCTCTAGAAGCTTGCTGTGTCTCGTCAAATCTTCGTCGTTGGCATACGAGGAAGTCAGAAGCGTGAGCAGAGTGTGATTGGGCGGGTGGTCCTGGAAGAATGAAAAGGCCGGAAGCGAAGCGCGACAGAGCGGACAACTGCTGCTGTGGTCCAGGCTTCGGGCAAAGCAAGTCCGACAGAAGGTGTGGCCGCAAGGCGTCGTGAGAGGCTCGTGCAGCAGCAGATAGCACAATTGACATTCCAAGACGTCGACCAGCTCAGAGTGGAGCTCGTCCAGCGTTGCAGAGGAACGAGCGAGGTCCTCAGATTGGCTGATCAAGGCGGGTTTCGAACTTAGCGAACCTCGTGAGGAGGTCTCGGTGTCCCATTCTGAGTCAACCTCGATGGCTCGATCTGACGTTGGCAGATTTGAGCCAAAGAGCGAGCGTCTGCGATGTCGTTTGGAAACTGTAGTGTCGGATGCGCTGGTTCGGGAAGCCCAGCCGGAGACAGAGGCATCTGGGTTGAAGCGATGATGCCGCGCTACGTAAGCGGCAGAAGGCCTGGAGTAAGCGCCACCGAAGTCCGGATCGTCGCCTTCCTCGGGCACTGAATAGTGATCCTCCTCAAAGTCTGCGTGATCGCCGCGATCGTAAAGTTTTTCGCGGGTCGAATACCATGACAAGTGCGAGCTTGAGGATCCATCCGCGTCAAACTCATTTTGAAAGTCGGCTTCAAGCACGTCTTGATCGTCGTCGTCAGTCTCGGAGGTGGCGTGCACTCCGCCGACGGAGCCCGACTCTCTGCCTTCTTCGCTACCACCAAGCATGGGGAGAAAGTTTGGCGCTATGGCAACGCGATCGCTATCAGCGTGGTGATCTGTCGGGCGAGATGTTCGTCGACCTGTAAGTGCTGAAGAGCGGAGAGAGCGGGCATGGTGACCACGAACACCGCGTCGGCGAGCGCGGGAAAATGCGCTGCCTGTCTCACTTCCGAAGCGAAGGAATGCAGTAGACCCTTGAGTGCCTGGATATTGCCGAACTGATCTGCTGCCAGATGCCAGTGACCGTAGGCCGTGTTCAGACGTGGTCGGAGCTTCTGAGGAAGGATCGGGCGCGAGAGGGATGTGTGCATAGCGCCGCAGAGCATCGATAGCTTTCGACAAGGTGACATCAAGACGAAGGCTGTCTCCGGACGAACGACCGCCGCTCGCGAGGGTAAGGGGCGATGCAGTGTATGATGCTTCGTCGCCCTTCCTCTGAGGTGGCACAACGGTGAGACCGACGGACTGGTCGGGCTGAGCAATGACGAAGCCGTCTAGGGGCACGAAGCCTGGACCCTCGTTGGTCACGCGAGCTGAAAGACCTGCTTCCGATGCAGACTGCGATGCGGAAGGTGGGCCCCAACGTGCTTGATGCCCCGCCCAAACCCCCAAACCTCGGCCGATGGCAGAACGTTGACATCCGGAGACCGAGCAGGGCACGGCAGTTGCGCAGAGAGGCAAACGCGGCGGCACATGACTTGAGCAAGGCATCGTGGTCATGGTGCGGTCCTCGTTCACGCGCTCCAAAACGCAGCCCATGCAGGTGCTGTGGCCACATGGTAGAGTGACCGGGTCGCGGAAAGTTTGACCACAAGCTGCACACTTGATCATGTCGAGGAGGCGAGCAGCAGCCTCTCTTGCTTGAAGAGCCGCGTGACGTTGCGTCACAATGCCACCAGAAGCGCTAGATGAGCCGGTACCTCCAGCTTGGTCCAGAGTCTGGTGGGCCTTGCGCGGATTCACGACGCCAGTTGACTCTGTTCGGCCAGAGGCGCGGCCCTGCAGCGTTCGCTTGGCATCTGAAGGTGGCGATGCAGTGGTCAGCAGTCAGCACGTATGCACAGAGCCCGACATTGTGAGACCACTTCCAGCGGCCGTGCGGACAGACCCGATTCGCGCAATCGAGCATAGCGCGCCTGCATCCTTACTGCCCGATACACTGAGATTGGAGCGCTGACTCACCTTCCAAAGTCACCGTCCTACCCAAGCCTGGTGCCTCCACCATTCCTGTAGGTGTTGAGATGCTGCCAGCGGCGGCAACAGTGTCGCGCTCGCTTGCAGGAGTAGCGTTGCTGCGGGAAGTCTTGTAGCGCGGCTCTTTCCTAGTCGTAGCATCGCTCGAAGCACTTTCAGAGCTGCCGCAGTTGCCTTGCGAGGACGAGGGTGGCGAGCCGTCGTGGTGGTCGCCAGCAATGGCTGTGGTTTCTGACACAGACAGTGGTCCATCCGATACTGCCAAGGCCCTACCGCTTACAGCTGCCGCGTTCGCTGCTACCGACATCTCGAAGGAGCCTTGTGATGCCGTGCTGATGTTCAGACACCAAGAGCCTTTTCAGGCTTGCTGTGTCTGGGCTCGATGGATTCTGCAATGGTGGTCGAAAAGGAGCAAGGCTAGTAATTGGTAAAAAGAACGCCGATACTCGGTCGCCACGCAGTGTCTTGGCTCGTCGGATACGTAGGGTTGCGAGGTGTGATGGTGGCGTTGACAATTACGTGGTGCAAGTGTGGCTAACAGAGCGATCTGGTGGTGAGAAAGGGGGAGCATCAGGGCAAGCATTTGAGTAGTGAAAGAACCACAGAGCTTGCTAATCACTCGGTTGCTTAGTGACGACTCGGGCCGCTCGCTGAGTCAAGGCCGCACCAACGCGGAAGGAGGATCAAGTAAGCAGGCGGTTGGACCACAGTCGAACGTCCATCCGTTTGCGCCAGGCCTGAGGCTTTTGCGCGCCAAAGATCGAATGCGTTCTGGCTGCAAGATCTCGGATTGCTTGTAAGGATGATTACAAAGATTGCTTGTAAGGATGATTACAAAGGTTGTGTTAGGCGAGATTAGCCCACATTCACGCGCCTTTGCGTAGGCTCTCTCGATGGCGGTCTCTTGCATATGCAGCAGACTACACCTTTGAAGGCTTGTTTGCTCTCGCGCGAGGAATCTCGAAATGCTTGCAAATCAAAAACTTGAAATTTACGCTCGCCTACAGAGCGAGCGAGTCAAGCTTACAGCACATCGCCAAGACGACATCTGTACGGGTCTCGCGCTGTACGATGTGAGTGAGACGTGGGCAAGGCCAAGTAAGGATTCCAGATGGTGCGCGTGCAGCGTGCTTAGGCAGCAGCAGCTCTATATTCACGTTGTGCAAGCGCTAGAAGAGTCGAGCGCGGTGTACGTACAGCATCTTGAATTGATGGCACATTCGTGATTATATGGCGCACACTCATCACCATTACTAGTACCACTTTACCGGTGCGGTGCTAGAACAGAGGCTCTGATCACAGTCTTGAGTCCACAGAGCGGCGGCGACCAAGGGAACGGGGAGGGAGCCAACGGTGCGATTTGGGTGACTAAGTGCAGCAATAAGCCTTGATGCACCGCATCGCTTAGGTCAACGCAGGGCGGCCACTCGCCTCGATCGCTGTTGCGCATGCTGCTGCTGCTTTGCATCTGCTGTGGCGCGCTCAAGTAATCCATCCGCGCGATGCGCCGGGCAAGGTGATGAAGATCGAGACTCTCTTCAGCCTTGGCGCCATCACGTTATATGCGTGTGCACGCGCCCCCGCTGCGCGACCGACTTGACTTTCTGCTGATGCATGACTCAGACTGGTGAGGGGGATGGATGGATGGATTACCTGATCCCAGGCTGTGCGGCATGAGCGATACACTCAATCTGTGCGCCCGTATAGCCGCACCGCGCATCCAACGACAGGTCCCCCATACTCACGTTTCTAGACCCATGCATGGCATAAGCACAATTTGTCTGCACCAGCTCTAACTCGCATGCGTGCACATCCATATATATATATACATGGATGGCCGATCATGGCTCTCTCTGGCGGCTGTGTAAGCTGCGTCGCGCGCTTTACCGATGATTTGTATTCACGATTTGCATGAAATTAGCCGTCGCGATCCCCTAGCCGCCGCATATGATGGCGGTGCATGTTAATCACAATCCAATCACCATTAAATCACACTGTGAATGCCGTACCGCGAGCTCTGCTACCTATAGCTGTCGTCGAGGGCCCCCCATTTCGTGGGGACCATGGCTTTTGCCGGCTGACATGAGCGCAAACTTGCAACATCAACGTCCGGATCAGGATCGTCGGGTCTCACGATTGCCTCGCGCTGCCAAGCCATGCACCTGCCCGCTATGCGGCACCCGCCGCTTCTTGTTCCTCTCGCGGGTCTTCTGTGCAGTCATCCATGCAGGGCGTACGAAACTCCCACACAGATGCACAACTCGAGCATTGCCATCATGTCGGCAATATGCGCGACGGTCGCGCTCACAATCAAACACCAAGTACTCAGTCGTGAACACACACAAATGGACCATGCGCGTTTAAAGTGTGGCGTTGGATACGGCGGCCGCTTCGGGACTTGGACCTGGCCATCGGTAAGGGCAAACAGTAGACCGCCAATCGAGGTCGGGATAATGCATTGCTGGAGTGTGCTGACCTAGACAGTCAGGGACCCGACCGTGGGCTACCGGCGTGCTCGAATTGGGCAACCGGGAGCGGTTGCATGTAACTGTTTCGCGCCCAGCAGAGTCTGCCTGCGGCGAGTCCGTGCTGACTAAGATTCTGCAAAGCACCGCCGCGGTGAGGTAACGCAAGGCTCGCCGCGTACGCTCGCTCTTTGTACTCGTCACATGAGGGGGGAGAAGGGGGGAAAACAGACAATCGTAACAATCTAGGTGTGGAACGACGTCTATTGCACGGCGCGAGACCGCAAGGGCATGCTCACGCTTCTTGACACCTGCTTTGTTGGCTGCTAATCAAGAACTTCGCAGGGACGCTTGTCCTAGATCAACAGGCTTCCGCACGCGACAGCACAGACGTGGCGCGGCGGGTCTGCGGCTTCGCTTGGGGCCATCTTCAGTCACGAGTGAAACTTTCGCCTGGCCTATCGACCAGCCATGAAGAGTCTCAGGTCGGAATGCGAGCAAGCTGCAAGGAACAGACGGAGTGAAGAATAATTCAAGATGATGCGAGTGACATTGCAAGAAATGCATATGGGTGGGGAAAGGTACACGAGAAGAATCTCAAAGCGAGCGCGGCGAGTGGTGTTCCAGGTGAGGATTGATGATTTTGGCGTCCATGTTCTTCTGTTGCTCTACCAGGAGCGCTTCGCTAGGCAATTCGAAAGTCAAAGGGAGCGTCACGTAGAGACGTAGCCATTCAGACCTTGTGGCCCAAAAATCTCGCCAAAGATACCTGCGCCGTCAATGCGCAAGGGGCCGACATCAGCCTCATTGGCCGCAAGCAGAATCTGCCCGTCATCGCCGCCAGCATCGCGCGCAGACTGACGGGCCGTCTCTCGACGAAGATGGCGTTCGAATTCCCAAATCTCTTCGAACGACGCCGCCAAATGCTGCAGTCCGTACAGGTAGCCACTATCGGGACCGTCGCGCAGACCGGGAGGATATCTAGCCTCCGGCATGCCTGGCAAAGGCGGCTCTTCGCCCTCGTGAGCCGGATAGAAAAAGTCGGACCCTGTGGTGCAATGGGCAAAGTCGATGATCCTAATGTTGATTTCTCCCCGACGTCGCCGGCGACGTGCGGGCATAGAGCTGGGCACCGAAGTCACAGATGCGTGCAAGGCATGTTCCTCCTTCGCAAAGGGGCTCTCGGCATTGAGAGAGCTTGACGTGGACAGTTGCGTGGTCCGACCAATGGAACCTGGCGCACCGCCGTCTGCGCGATCCAAGCTGTGTGAGGACCAAACACCGGGAAGCGAACCGCCTTCAGCCGATGTGTCAGCCGGCATTACCAAAGGACTGCAATCGATACTGTCGGCTAGACCTGGCGAGACTCCGGCTATGCCACGTTTGGTGCGACTCTCAAATTCCTTTTCCAACCTAAGTTGGGTCTCTTGATCTCCATCATATATGAACAGCAGACTGCTTGCATAAAAGCGATAGCCGCTCAGCCCGTTGATGATGCGCGCTAGTCGATACAGCTTCTCCAGAATGACGGGCACATGGTGCAGGAGGAGGTGACGTCCATCGTCGAAAAAGCGCCCTAGTGCATGCGCAAAGTCGGATGGCGCAATTTTGCGACCATAGTACTTGTCTTGGAAGATGAAGGTGTCGTTCTTGGCGTCGTAGGCCTGCATACCGCAGATGCGCACGCCATGCGTTCGGCTAGTAGTCTTGTCACACTTTTTCGTTTGACTTCGCTTCTTGGCATCGGTTGCGTCAAGGCCATACTGGCGCGTGCCCATCTTCAAATCGAGAACACAAGGCGACCGCAATCGCCCAGTCAAATCCTCCATGAGCAAAAATTGCTCCTGCCGCGCAGAGGACGGGTCGACAGCGTCCCCGGCATCAGCAGCCGCTGCTGCTGCTGCGTTAGCCGCTGCCTGGAGCGCGGGCTCGCCTAGTGTGGTCGCGGGCACCTCGGAGCTGCCAGGCAGTCCTGCACGACTCTCCTTGGATGAGATCCCGTTCGTCCCTTGGAACGGCCGCGGCGTCTTTTGGCGAGCATCATCCAATGCTAGACCCGTATGCTCAGACGACGCGTCTACTTTCTGCGCGCTTAATTGATCGCTGTCAAGACCCAGATCCTCCATCGAGAAGAGTCTGCTGTCCGTGGAGGCCCTTCGACCATGCGGCTGAGGTGGCGAGCCGGAGCATGTCTCTACGTTTTCCGAGGTTGCCACAGTGGTCGATTCGCGGCTATCGGAGGTCCAGCCGCTGCGAGCTTCACCTGGAGTGCCCACAGAGGATTCTGTCGGTGTAAAGCCAAAGGTAGCAGCACTTTTGAAAGACAAGGCGGCGTCACTGTGAACACGACGGAAACGGCGCGGCACAGCTGCTTCCATTTCAGATGCTTGTGGCGCAGGGTCGCCTTTCGTCGACACGGGATCGTCGAAACCCAAAAGCTCGGCAGGTGCATGGAAGTGCGGCTGTCGAACCTTTGCATCGGAAGACCTGACTGAAAGTGGGCTGTTTGCGATCGAAGGAGGTAAAGGAGGAGATCGTGGAGGAGTGGATGGCATCCTGCCCGGGCCAGACAATGAGTTCGAGCTCGGAACACTTGGCTTTCCGGCTTCACGAAGCGCAAGGCTCGCCACTACAGCGCTTCCCGAGGCTCTCTTCGAGGCAGTCTCTGATTGCTCCGGCCTTGACACCGCGCTTCGACTGGCGCCTTCCTCGCTCTCTTGCCAAGCCTTCTCTAGCCTCCTGCGGTGTTTTCGCGCGTTGCGCTTCGTTCGGCCCCATCCAGGGCCTGCCGCACCATCGTCGTCGCGGGGTGGGGGACCACTGAAGACCTCTCGCAAAACTTGCTCCTGTAAGCGCCGATTGACCGACGTGCAGCCACGGCCTGCAAACGAAGCACAGGGTCCAAATGCACCTGCACTGGCCCGTCGTCCAAAATGCGGACGCTGGTCTTCAGATGCTGCATCGCCATGAGCGGAGTTTGGAGGTCTGCGCGAGCTTTCTCTTTCTTCACTCGACAAGCCCTTCGAGGCAAATTGATGCTGCGACCTTTCCGACCATGCGCCTGCGGAGGTAATGGGACTGACAGATGGCGAGCCGATTGTAGAGGCGTGATTCAACGACGGTCTCAATGCAGGTGAGAAATTGTGGGGACCGTCCGAGGGGGCTTCGGCGCTCGAACTCAGGGGGAGCGTGCTGAGCGTTCGCTCCGCGGAGCGGCTTGTACGCGCTGAACTATGACCAGAGGCCCTTTTCCGATTCCGGCCGGGTGAGTGAGATGTCTGTCGGGCCCCGCTCGTGCCGCCAAGCATCCAGTCTGGTATGATGTGCCTATTCATGCTCAAAGCAACTTCTGGCACCTCATTTTCGTGCTCGTTTTGACCTTCGAAGACGCGGCGCCGCGCTGTCGCAGGGCGTGAGATACTGCTAGTATCAGAAGGCTCGATAGTACCGCTTGGCTCGGCTGCTACTGCTTGGGCAGAAGAAGCTCCGTCATTTTGGGCAGGATCGTGTGACTTCTCCACGTGGCGATAGGTCACATTGAGTACACCGAGATACTGAGGAATGAAGGAGAGCAGACGAGGATGATCCCTTTCCACAGCTTCATAGAACTGATTTTCGCGACTGACCAGAGGCTTGCACACTGCCCGTCGGGAGAACTGGAAAATGGAGCTGTGGCCGCCGACCTGGTTCGAGAACGGTTGGAGCTGCACCACGGCTGGTGGCTGCACAAGACCTTCCCTTCGATAGCGACCACTTCGGTCCTCACTGCGCGCCTCTCGACGTGAAGCGGCGCTTGATATAGATCTCGACGGTATAGCGATCGCTCCGCTCAATTCTTTCTGAGCAAATTTGGAGTCGCTTGGTTCCTGCGAGACTTCACTGGTGCGTCGTTGACCAGTGCGTAGATCCAAATACAACTCACGGCCATCCGCGTGCTCTCGTTCCTCCCTGCCGTAAGACTGTTCTGAGCTCCCAGAATCATCAAACAGCTCATCTTCCTCATCGCTCTCGTCCAGGTTGTCTTCGGCCACCTCATCCTCTTCAGAAGAGGTTAGTCCTTCGCTCTCAGTCACGGCTGCCTCGTCCGCAATAGAGCTTCCACGAGAGATTCTACGAGGTCGAGATGTTCTGTCGGCGCTTTTGACTGACGAGGCCCTCCGAAGATGGCTGTTGCCGGTACCATCCTCGTTCAGTCTCGACTTTGCCAAAAGAGTCAATGGAGTCGCTGGCTGCAGGACTGGGTTGCCTTGCGTCTGAAAGCTGCCATAAGGACTAGCTGCGGGCGGCAGATCCAAAAGTGCGGCTCGTGGAGAGACTGTAATGTGCCGAGATGGACGGGTGGACATGGGGCTAGAACTGTCCTCCTCGTCTTCTGTGGCCGTTGACTCTGATGCAGGCTGTATTGCGCTGCCGCCCAATCTCGACACCTTTGCTGGAGTCATGCTCCGCCTACGGGCTGTGCGCTCCGCGGCCTTATACTTTGGGCTGTGCGTTGCCTTGCGAAGATTTCTGCCGAGAGTGTCAGGCGAGTCGTCGCTCGAAGTCCCCACATGGGGGACGTTGCTGCTGGAGCCTGTCTCTTTGAAAAGCTGAAGGCTCACGCTTGCCTTTCTGCCACTGCTCATCACAGCAGGAGGCAGAGTGAAGTCGAACTCCTTCCCATCGATCACAGCCGTGCTACTGGTTGGAAACGAATCCCTCTCTTCGCTTCCGTCATCGTCTTGCACCATAGACCCCAAGCTTCTTCCAGGCGTACTTTTGGCGCTGGGCGCAAGTACGAAAGAGCCGGGCGAATCGCTTGGCGGTGCCTTCGTGGCGTTGTCCGCCTCAGTGCCGATGTTCCAGCCTCGGAGATCTCCCGCCACGCTACGTGCTCGTTCCAGGGTATGTCTAGGCTCGCGCGGCTCGCGAGGCTGATAGCTGTCCGCCTTCACTTCACCATTGCCTAATGTATTGGCAGAGGCAGAAGACGCCCCTACGGGATTTGCAAACGGATTCGCAAACGTAGGGGCCACAACTTCGTTTGCGGCGCCAGCTAGAACGTCAGGCGATGGATTCGCCGCTTGAGCTGAAGAAGACTGGACGCAAGACTGGGCTTCGTTTGCGGCTCGCTGCGGTGCGCCAGCAGTCTTCGTGGCATTCGAGGCAGCTGTTGGCGAAGGACTGCGAAAGATAGATGCAGTGCTCGAATCGGCGCCACTGTTCATGTAGGAGCGTCTTGTGGCTAGACCTGCCGAGCGATGAGCGGGCGGAGAAAAGACGCTGGAGTGGGGCACAGGCACACCAGGGGGAAGACTGATGTGAAGACCGGCGCCAGACTCGGCCTGGGACGAAGATGCAGGTCCTATCGGGCGTGGCGACTGGATTGGTGCTTGGACGGAGGAAGCTCCATGTGAAGCCGATGGGGTCGCCAGCTTCCCTGACTCGGCTTCAATCCCGCGTGTCACCTCGCCGGACGGGGAAGAGCGGCAGTCCGCCTTTGACTGCGCACGGGCGTATTGCGCATCATTGTACCGTCTTTGAGGGTGTTCCTCTGAGATCGCGCTTCCATCCATGGAAATGATGCTGTTGCGCGCTCGCTCTCTGTGCTTCTCCTGCTGGTGGTGACGTGGTCAGTGAGCAGATTGATGTTTCTGAACGGCCATGCATGTCCTTCGAAATCGTGCGAGCAAAGCGTAAGCCCGGACGGCTGTCGAGATGATGTACTCACTAGCTGGACGGGGCGCTTCTCTTGCCGCTGTAGTATGTCATGCACACAGCGACAGCAACGACAGTGTGAATCTGTGCGCCAAGGATGGAGGGTGAGGTGAAGTACAGGTCGATGAGATTGATGTGGAGTGCGGCCGCCGGGACTTTAAATGTCGAGGATGGCTGAGTGAAGCTACAGCCCAAAGATCAGCAGCCAAGCAAGTCCACCCGAAAGAAGAATGTACAGCGCTGATGAGCTGATCCGACCAATGTCGAGGCGAGAGGGGGTCGGTGGACGTACGAACAGTGGTCGCGTAGATGAAGTGATGGCTGGACTGATCAGCCTTCGAGCCCAATAGCCCAGGTTGTAAATTGCCCTGCCACACACGCCCGCCCGCTCGCTCGAGCGAT